AGAAGTGTGACGTGAAACATTCGTCATTGAACGGTGAACCGTGTCTGTTTGAATGCGAGCCGCCAAGGCCGCCGAATTGACCGAATTGGCTCTGGATTCTTGTCCCGACCAACGTGACGTGTGACATTCCTGGAACACCAGTGACGTGACAGACAGGCGGGCCGACGTCGCGGCACTGAAAAAATGATGAGTCCGACAGAAAGTGGGTCTCTGGCGCACGCTGGCGCATTGGACGTTGTCGTGTTCAACTCGAGGCGGGGCATTAATTCATTAATTATTGGCGATCGTTAGCGGGGCGTCTAGTGACGCGGCTCGGCTCGGCTGGCGGGCAGGGCAGGGCCAGGCCAGGCCGGCCTCGGAGACGGGACGCCGCGGCGTAATGGGGGAGCCAGGTAGCGGGGGCACTGGAAACAGCCAGGCCGGCCAATTTCAGTGAGACGCCAATTATTGTCATCATTGTTATTATTCCGACATGGCGGCCGCCGGAACTAAAGAGGAGCGCCGGGTGAGTTGGAGCGCCACTGTACAGGGCTCGAACCGAACGTGTGACCCCACCAATGGATTCCTCGTTTGGAGAGCAGTCCATTGGTGGGGTCACACGTTCGGTTCGAGTCCCGTTTAGCGACTCTGGAGCTCCAAACGCGTCTAGAGTTTTGGCCGCCTCCGCCGGTCTTCTGGCCCACTGTGGGCCCCGCCCAACAAGGGTCCTTTTAAAAGTCGGGCCGCGTTGCGTTGCCGGCCCGCTGACTCGGTGGCACGGTGACTTCGCGACACCGTTCGGGCCGACCCTCCAAGGGATGAAGGTCGGGGAAGGTCGGACGACGGGGCACCTGGCCCAGACCTGGCCCAGACCTGGCCGTACCAGTGTACCGGTCCGACCGGTCCCCGCCCTCTGCGTGTCCGCGTGTCTCGCAGTGCCGTGGCCGTGCACCCGCGCCGTGGCGGAGACCCCCAACAACGCGGCCCCTCTTTGACGTGCAGTTTTGCCTTCCTGGATGTCGGCGGGCCGGGGGGTGGGGGTGGTACGAGCTCATTGGGAGCCGTGCCAGGCCCGGCCCGGGACCCTGCGCTCATCCGGAGCCCCCCTCCCCCACACGGCCCGCCGCGGTTCTTACATAAATGCCGTCCACTTTGAGGTCCGTCTCACAATGGACCGCGCGATTACATGGTCCCGATGGCACGCGGGCAAGTACGCGAAGCCGGTGACCGCTCTGTCGCTCTGTCCCCCTCCCACTTATGGAGCGTCGCCGGACCGTAGGGGTGCGAGAGAGACGGAAGAGGAAGCGGACATCACGGCACGGAATCGAGTTGACGATTCGCGCGGACCTCCACGGGACGCGCCGCGAGTGCGAGAGAGACAGCAGGTCGGAATCAGTCTGCCGCGTCGTGCCGCCTCGCCTCGCCTCGCGCTCCTCGGGGCAAAAATGGAGCCGGAGTGCGGCTCTAAAGGCTACGACAAACATGCTCCAAACGAGTTTGCCTCCGCCGTCCTAACCGCCCCCGGTCGCCGTCGTTTCTCTCTCTCTCTCTCTCTCTCTCTCTCTCTCTCTCTCTCTCTCTCTCTCTCTCCTCTCTCTCTCTCTCTCTCTCCCACCCTCTCTCCCCCACGACCCCCGGCGACGGCGTCGTCCCCAGCGGCGCTCCGCGACAGCTCCGCCAGGTCCCAGGCGACACCATGGTGGGCACGGGCGTGCTGGGTACGGCGCGACTCGGCACGCCACGGCACGCATTCCGCAGCATTGAATCAACAGTGAAACGACAATATTAACTCGCCGCTCCCTCCGCTGCACTCGGCTCGGCTCGGCTGGCTTCGGCAGTGGCGTGGAGGGGACCCCACCTTGAGGAGCGCCTAGCCTAGACAGTAGGCGAGGGCCTCCACCAGCCACCGCCGCAGCACTGCCTAGCTCGCCCTCGATCGCCTATTCGATCCGAAGCAGGACACCACTTGAACGATTTCAGTCATTTCTGCTTCCTCCTCCCCCCACCCGTTTTCCACGAGGTGCTTCGCTAAACTTTCCGCACAGTATCAATCGCGCTGCGGAAATAATCGCATTGCACTGGGGAGGGGGGGGGCGTTGCTCACCGTGTGGCAGTGCAAGCGGAGCTGTTTAAGCAGCTTTCATCTGTGTGTGTGTGTGTGCGTGCGTGTGTGTGCCAACGGCGTCACACTGTGGAGGGGGTAGACTTGTACCGTGAGGGCCTGGTTGTGTCTGGCGCCCCGCCCCGCCCCGCCACGCCCCGCCACGCCCCGCCCCGCCACGCCCCGCCACGCCCCGCCCCCGCCACGCCCCGCCACGCCCCGCCACGCCCAGCCGCGCCGCGCTTGGTACAGGGGGCGAAGTTTCCTGGGATCGTACGGCACGCCAAAGTGACTAAGTGCGATTTCGTATTCTCCTCAACGCTGGCGGGGCTGGCGGGGCTGGCGGGGCTCCGAGTTGTCGTTACTGGGAGACAAATTGCGGGGCAATCCTCGGCGATGGCCCGGCCGCGGCGAGAGCCTAGCGCGAGGCTAGCGCGAGCGTGCGGACCGATTCCCTCGCTCTGTCTCTCTCGCACCACCGCGCCAAGCCCCGCGGCGGTGCGAGAGAGACAGAGCGAACGCCGCTTCGGAGTCGCCCCGCTGCAGCCGCGGTCGCCGCGGTCGATGATACTTTATCGCGAAATCCTCACAAGCTCGCCGCGGCATACGCTCGCGTTTCTGTTTTTCGGTCTGTTTTTGTTGCTTTTTCGCGGGCTTTTGTTTTTGTTTGTTCGAGGAATTGCAGCGGGCTCTGCTCTTAGGCGAGGGCGCGGCCCGCGGCGAGCTCACGGCGCCGATGGCAAACAGCGAGAGTAACAGGAACCCCATCAGGACCGTCAGGGAGTCGGGTCGAGCTCGGGCCGAAATAAGGGGACTGGGGAGGGGGGGGGGCACGGCTAAGTCGCCACCAAAGCTCCTCGCTCCGTCTCTCTCGCTCTCTCGGGGCGCGCCGCTGGGGCCGCTGGGGCGCGAGAGAGACGGCGCGTCGAGGCCCCGGCCCGGGCGCAGTGCTCGCAGCGAGTAAATATTCTTATCTGGGAGCGCGGTCGGCAATGCATGCAGATGACAGTTATGACTGCCTGCCTGCTCCCAGGGCGTGCCCCCCCCCCTCCCCCTTTCTTCCAGTGTCGATGCGACGGGCCGCACGAACTGGCCGTGCCGCAGAACGTCGCTGTTATTGCCTACGTCACGTTCTCAGGAATGGGGCGGGTTTGACGCGGCATGCACTCCCTCTCTCTCTCCCTCTCCTTCCTTCTCTCACTTACTTACAGTGGGTTAATTCCAGCGTCGCGGTCTCTTTTGTCGTGTTTATTTTTGAATTTTTTGCTTCAACGTCATGCCACTTTTGGCGAGGGGCGCGAGTATTCTAGTGGCAGGGGTGTGTGGGGTGGCGGGTTTTCTCGTGGTTTACGGGTTTCTTTCACACACACTCTCACACACATACATACCACACACACACACACACACACACACACACACACACACACACACAGGGGTGGACGGGGCCATTGCAGCCATCCCCTGACGGAAGCAATAAAGCATCTGGAGAGCGGGAGAGGTCCAGGTTTGCGTTGTCAGGCCTGCCTGCCCCGCCCGTCAGTGTGTCGTCCTCTCGCTGACGGACGGACGGACGGACGGACGCAGCCCTGTGCGTATGATACTTCTTCCGGAAAGCTTGACACTGACGCGGTGACAGCGCTGTCATCGGCCGCGGTGACGTCGGTGACGTGCGTGACGTCGCCGCGCTGCTGCCGCTCTCGCGGCGAGTGCATCCGAGTGACACACACACACGCGCGCTTGTGCGGTCTGTGACAGACAGAAGCTCTGCACTTTGCACACCGACGGGCAGACAGACAGACAGACAGACAGACAGACAGACAGACAGACAGGCGGTGAGACATGCGGCACCGCGACGCGAGAGAAGCGACTCTCCCTGTAAAACCATCCCATCCCTTCTGCTGTCTCCCTTTCTCTCTCTCGACACTGGCTGTACAGCCGCGGCGTGGTTAGCCTATCCGGCCGGCTCATAAGACGCTGTCGGGGCGAGCAGAGCAGCGCAGCGAGTTGGTGGAGGAATGATGCCGCGATGAACGGCCCGGCCGACCGGAAGTGGAGATCGGGGATCGCAGTGTAGCGCCTCCAGGAACGCGATGAACGTTGGACGGCCGGGCCGACGGCCGTGCCGGGCTGCCCCAAGTACTGCAGGATATTTCTCAGCAGGGCAACGCCCGTCTGCAGAGCGGCCGAGTGATTATTTCTCCCGGAGTGTGTCAGCGGGGCGGGGCGGGGCGGGGCGGGGCGGCCGAAAGGGTTGGCGCCCGTGGCGTGGAACGTATAATCTGGAACGTGAGTCGAGTTTTACCAGTGAGAATGATATTCTGCTCGGCGCGCTGCCGCGCTGCGGACCGCCCCCTACTTTGGGATGTAGCCCGGGCCGCGTGGTTATATCACGCAGAGCAATGGAGTGAGACGAGGACGGAGGAGGGGGCGGGGCGGGGCGGCAAGACGCACGGACGGACCAAAATGGCGGGTGTCCGTCATTTGGCCACCCCGCCCCGCCCCGCCGTCGTGGGAAGTGGCGTGCTTGGCCGCGGCTGGGATTGTCCTGGCAGCCGCCCGCTTCACGTGTGGTTTCCCCTTTTACTTGTCTTCTTTTGGCGAGGCCCGCGGGGCCCGGAGCACAGGGTGGGGAGGGGGGACGGGTGTCAGGCTACTGATGTAATTTACATGTAGTCCCCAGGGTAGTTAAAGTCTCCTCCGCCCATTTCTCTGCACCTGTCAGACCCCGGGGCGGGGCGGGGCGGGGCGGGGCGGGGCGGGGCGCGGGGCGGGGGGCCCACCCTTCCATCCTTCCTTCGCCCACAGCCACACCTCGGGACCCAGCGCGCCGACCGCCGCCGCTCGTTTTGCAGTGCGTTTGCAGGAATGTGTTCCGTCCCCCCTCCGCTCCCTCTGCTACATCGCTTTCCTCTTGTTGCAGGTTTGTGGCAAGTCAGTGGGCATGGAGACCGATCTGGGAGCGGCCGCGGCCGACAGCCCCGTAGTGCCCCCCCCCCCCCGCCATCCGTACATGGCAGGACGCCGGCGGCGAGCGCCGTGCCGGGGAGGCAGGCCGCCGAGCGCGCGCGTTCGACGGGACAGCCTGCCTGCCCGGCGCCCTATCCGCCCGTGCCGAGCGGGAGGCCAGCTCGTCGCGCTCGAGCGCCGACGCGTTCGACGGGAGCAATCGTGGGCCACTCGGTTCGAGTCCCATGCACTCGGCTCACGGCGCTGCCCTTCTGCCCCTGGCCGCTCGCGCGCCGCTCACTCGTCTCTCTCGCGCGCGTGAGGCGCATCGAAGGTGTGCGAGAGACACGGAGTGCTGCCGCTAGTGGCGGCCACCGGCTACCGTCACCGCGCTGGAGCACTTAAAAGCGGCGTGCCTACGGCCTGTGCTGGGATGCTGGCCGCTGTCAGGCTGGCCGGCCGGCCGCGCTGCGACGCGACTCGGCGCGGCCGCTGCATTAAACATGTGACCCCGAGGCCGAGGCGCTAATGCCCTATGATACGCCGACACTAGGACGCCGACAGTCGACAGCCCGACAGGCGGCCGACACGTGACCAGCTTCTCGCATTTGGATGCATCCTTTATTTAGCGCGCTGTCTCGCTCGCGCCGTGTCACGAGTCACACGGCTGTGCGTCTCTCTCGCACCCCCACGGCGCGGCCCGCGAGTGCGAGAGAGACGGAGAGTCACGGGGAATCACCGCCTGTCGGAATCGGGACGGGACAGTTCCAGTGCCGCGACGCCACTTTTAGCAGTGGCGGAGAGCAGTGGCGCGCGGAGTGGCGGAGCGGAGTCACTGCGGGAAAAAAAGAAAAGGGGGAAATAGAGGCGAAGTTCGCCGAGCTCTGTCTGTCGCGGCGTGTCGCGTGTGCGGACTGCGGCTGGTGTCGCTTCCGTCGCGCTGTCTCTCTCGCTCCCGAACGGCGCGCCGCGTGAGTGCGAGGGAGACAGAGCGACGGAAACGACCCCCGGAAGCAGTCGCACCGTGTGGCCTGTCCGAGTGCAGAGTGCAGCGCCACGCCTGCCCTATTCATGTGCATTAGTGGACGGAGCGACGCCGTGCCGCCTTGGCCGGAGTGCCATCCCGGCGCGGCTGTCACCGTCGCGGGTTCAACTCCCGCCGTCGGCATGGCGGGCAGGTGTCGCTCCGACACTGTAGAAGGGCGACATCGCCCTGGCGACCCCCCGCTGCATTTTGGCAGTGTGTATTGGCAGCGTTTGCCTCGCTATCCTGTTGATTCCTCCTCGGCAGACGTTTTTCTCGCCCTGTCTCTCTCTGTCTCTCTCCCTCGGCTGCGGCCGCGCGGGGCCCAGGCCGGGGCCCAGGCCGGGCGGGGGGATGCAGCTAACAAGAGTGGCTCCTGCAGGGGAGGGGGGTCCCGGGGGAGAAGCTAGCTGAGGAGACGGCAGGCAGGGGCCGCTGAATTTGTGTGCAGGACCCCGGCGAGGAGAAGGGGGGGGGGGAGGGGAGGTAACAGGGTTAGAGGGACGCTCTGCACGGCTGAGGTGAGGTTTTGGATGGAGCACGTCCATTATGTCTGGAAGAGGAACCCCTCCAAGGATATGTGGACGCGGTGGGGCGGCCGTCCCTACCAGTAACCTACTTTTCCACTTAAAGGTTTCCCACTGTAAAACAGAGAATTGTGGTGAATCGAAGTTGATTTTTTTTTAGAATGTGGGAGTGTCAGAGAGTGTGCCCCTTGCGGCCACTATCACAGGACTTCTTTGTTTGTTTTATTTTTTTGTGGAGCATTAGAGCGAAATCTGCGTCGGGCGGCGCGCCGCGTGCGTTAAAAGGGACACCTTGATGGATGGCTGTGCTTGGCTGTGCGTTGTGCGTTCGGCCACGTTCGCCATACCGGTGGGTTCCGCAGGGCGCCGTCGGCGGCGTCCTTGGCGCCAGCGTCGCCTCCCCGGAGAGTACTCCGATCTCCTCTCACTCGCTCGGCGGCGTGCCTTCCCCAGCGTCCTGCGGCCCCTGCGGCCTGCGTCGTCTTCCCACCGGCCTAAATTTCCCTTCCGTTTCGACGTCGCGGTTTCCACCAAAAGTGCTTTTCTCTTTTCCTCTTCTCTTTCCGCCCCGGGTTTTTCGCAGGCGAGCGTTCGCTGGTGTCGCGCCAGGTGACCACGCCCCGCCCCGCCCCGCCCTGGCGGTGCGTCGACCCTTGACCCCCTCCGCCCCGCCCCGGTGGACGGGCGCTCTCGTTTCCACCGGGACGTCCTCTCCGTCCACTTGGGCCTTCGCTTTCATAATTTCCGGAGGGGCGTGCACTGGGAGGCTGATGCCGAACCTCGCGCCGTCTCTCTCGCACTCGCGTGGACCCTGCCGTCGCGTTGCGGGGGAGAGAGAGACGGAGAGAGACCTGGAGCAGGCCGGCCAGGAAAGGGGGGCTCTGTTTTGATTTACAGTGATGATTCGGGGCGTGGCGGCGCGGCGTGGCGTTAATAAGGGAGTAGCATGACAAAGGCATTGTTTTGGGGCCACAATGGCGGCCGCGGATTCAATGGCCAAATTAATGGATTTGGTGGCCATCTCTCGCCATCTCTGTCTCAGGCGCGCTGCGCCCGCTGCCGGAGCTCCGCCTGCTCCGTGCTCGCTCACTTTGGCAGACAACACTGCCCCGTCGGCCGGGCTCCGTCTGCGCCGTCATCCCGAGCAAGCGCGGAGCGCCAAGCGCCAAGCGGGTGGAGCGAGGCGGGGCGAGCGGAGCGCCCCGTGAAAGGCCCCGGAGTAACGCGGCGCTACATGTCACGGGGCGGGGCGGGGCGGCAGCGCGCCCCTTCCTTTCTCACGCCATTATCGTAATTACTGCCCCCCCCCTCTTCCAGAGCACCACGACTACTTGGCCGTGCCGGTGCGGCGCTCCTTTTCCGAAACCGCTGTCCCACTTCTCACTTTTTTGCTCCCTTTTTTTTTCATTTCTCCCCGATATTTCCTTGTTATTCCCGCTGCTCCCCCGGTTCGCACTGCTGCCTGGCCAGCCTGGCTCTGAACCTCCACACCGCCCTGGGGCCTGCGGCCTGCCCGCCTGCTCCCCCCGGCCCTTCTGGGGCTCCTCGCCGGCGCGGTCGGCGCGTTCGGCTGCGGTCGCGGTGGCGGGGCGCGGCGGGGCGGGGGGGGCGGGCGGCGGGGCGGGGCGGGGTGTGTAATTTGTCTCCGTTTCGCTCATTTTGAAGCTGATGAGGGCGACAGAGCCCCGCAATGAGGGCCGTCCTGACCGCGGCGCGGCCGAAAGGCCCAGCAAGTCGCACGCCGTCTCGCTCGCACCCCCACGCCACGCCGTGAGTGCGAGAGAGACAGAGCGATGCCCCGCCAAAGGGCCAAAGGGCCGCGCGGCACGCACATTCGCCCCGATAGATGGCGTGCAGACAGTTGGCGGAAAGTTTGGCGGCCGCCTGCAGACTGAGAGTCGGTTTCGTCGCTCTGTCTCTCTCGCACCTGTACGGGACGCCCCATGAGTGCGAGAGAGACAGCGCGACGACTCTGGGAATCAGTCCGCCGGCTCTGCCGGCTCTGCCTGTGTCGCGGCGAGCGTTTCCAGTTTTCCCCTGCAGAGGGCGGCGCCGTCGGGGGCGGGCGCGGCCGGGGGTTTAACGTGGCCGTAATCAATCCGTAAAGGAGGGGAAAAATTGTCCAGCCAGCGGAAGGAGGAAACTTGCTTGGCGGAGGAGGGCTGCGCGACAGACGGGCCGGGCGGAGAAAAAAAAGTCAGAAAAAAAAAGCGACAGCCTTGTCGCGTCCGCGACCCACATCGCGTAGTCCGTAGTCGCGAGCGGACAATTAATTCGAAAAATGGCGGAGGCCGCCCGGCTCGGCTCGCCCGACAAGGGGAGTCATTTGCGACATGAGGACCTCGTCGTCTCAGGACGTCGCCTCGCTGGCACTTCCTCTCATTTTCGGGTGGCTTTCCTTCGGGAAAAGTGTCCTCTTGAGCGCTGTCCGGGCCACTGCGAGACGAGCACCGCGCAGCGTGGGCGGCACTCAGTAAAAAATACTTTTTTAAAATTAAATTTACAGTCTAATGAAAAAAAATTAAGTTTAAATTATTTTTTTTTGCCGATGCTGAGGGTCCTGGCGGGAGCACACACACGCCGACGAGGGAAGGTCCTGGCGGTAATTTCTCCCTTTGCGAGTGCATCTGCTGAGACGGCGTAAAGCGCGTAAGCCGAGGTCCCCGCCCATTTCTCAGCATTGTGTTCATCCGCTGCGACACCGACAGTACCGACGCTCTCTCTCTCTCTCTCTCTCTCTCTCTCTCTCTCTCTCTCTCTCTCTCTCTCTCTCTCTCTCTCTCTCTCTCTCTCTCTCTCTCTCTCTCACTCGCGGGGCGTCCCGCACGGGTGCGAGAGAGACAGAGCGAGCTGGTCGTCGTCGGCGCGCTTACTTGTCGCGCGGAGACATCTGCCTCGCCAAATGTATCTCGCGCCATCAGGAGCGACGTGGAGCGGGACCGGAAATTGCAGTGTAGTTTCGCCGTGGATGTGGGTCGCTACAGCCACTGTAAAAGGGGGAAATAAACGGAAGAGCGGCCGCTTATTCATCTATCTTGTTGCCGTCTATTTATCTATCTCTCGCGATATTAGACACCTGCACGCACTCGGGCCGGCACACTGGCGGGCGCCTTGGCGCCTTGGCAGCTGCGAAGTGCCTGCCTGCCACCCACTACCCCAATAAATCACTGGCGGCTCTTCCTGCAGGAACCCGTTCCCGGCCGCGCGGGTAGTTTCGGTGAATAAACCAAAACTCGGCTTTCTTTCCTCCTCCTCCCTCCTCGCGGGGACGCGGCGGAGACGCGCCGGCGTTAGGGAAGGCCGCGTTGAAACATCTGTCGGGCGTGCAATGGGCCGGCCCGTCTCGGCTCGGCTCTCGCGGGGCTGCGTTCGGCTGCGTCTCCGTCGCTCTCGCCGCGCGCACCCCGCGGGGGCGACGGAGACGGACGAGGCGCTCGTGACGTCACCGCCATCCCACCGCCATCCCGCCGCCATCCCCGCCACCAAGTGGGTCAAGCCGTTTAGGGGCATGTAAAGTAGTATGGCTGCAGGGAACGCCTGCACCGTAAAAAAAAAACAGGACAGCCGGTTTCGTCGAACCCGTCTAATCGTGGTGTTTGCACTGCGAGTGTGTGTGTGTGTGTGGGGGGGGGGGGTACATGTGTGGGGGTGCTACTCGGTTTGAAAGCATGCTCCCCCCATCCCGAGGCCATTTTCGGTCCGTGGAGGTGAAATATATGTGCGCCCGGGTGTCTGCCTTGGCGTCTGCCTTGGCGTCTGCCGTCCTCCCTTGCCGTCCTTGGAACCGGCCCAGACATTCGAAGACCTCGTTCACCGCTCCGGAATCCAGGAATCCAGCACCCAAGCCGTGTCAACCCCGTTAGGCGGACAATGTTAGCCAGAGCCCAATGGTTACCTGAAAAAAAAAATGTGGGTTGAATTTTTTTGTTAGTGGCCGCTGAGTTTTTCTCGCGCCCTTCAAAGGAAAGGTGACAGCTGCGTTGCTGTAAACGCGACTGCGGGCCGCGGCGGGGCGCGTGTGAGGCCCTGGCGGGGCGGGGCGGGGCGGGGCGGGCAGGTGGCGCGGGTAAGAAGCTTACGCGTCGAGGTAATTCAGGCTCATTAGTGGGGTGTGGAGCCAAGGGGTGGGAATCAGGCAGTGTCCTCGCGCGGGCCGCGTCGCGACACTGGAAGAACGGCTGGGAACAATCCTCTGCCCGGCGTGGTGGCTCGCGTCGCGCTGCTTGAACTTTAAAAGATGCAATTTATTGCGGTTCAGCCGGGGTCCTTGCCTTTCGGTTCGGTGGCGTCGGCTCGGATTTGGCTTTCCGTATCATTGCAGAGCTTGTTGCGCGTGGCCTCTGCCCCCGCGGCCTCCGGTTGGCCTCCGGTTGGCCTCCGGTTGGCCTCTGGCCCGGCCTCGGCCACACCGTAACAGCGCCGGCCTCTATTTGCATTTAGATTGAATGAAAATAATTGTGTGTGCAACGGCGTGAGTCCGGCGGAACGCCGTCGCGGCCGAAGAAAGAACCGAACCGCCTTGAGGAATCGTTTCCAGCGAGCCTGAACCGCCCGAACGGCGCCATTGAAAAATAAAAATGGGGGATTTCCCAGTGGCGTCGATATTAATGACCTGTTTTCTCTGTTTGCCGTTCCAGGTTCGGACACTCTTCGTCAGCGGCCTGCCCATGGACGCCAAGCCGCGAGAGCTGTACCTGCTTTTCAGAGCTTACGAGGTAGGTCATTCATTCGCTTCTAGCTCATTTTTATTGAAAGTAATCGAAAATTCTCATCAGCTGATGGGGATGACTCCTTTCCTATTCCCTCCTAGGTATTTTAGTCGAGACTGTTATGAAAGTAACCAATTTCTATCGCATCATTTGTAGCATTTCATGATATAACATAATAAATATCTCCTAGCCTTCCTACGAGTGCGATGAACAAAAATGTTGATGTTGGAGATAAGGCGACACAACAACTCGTCCGAAAAAAGCAAATAAAATGGTTGCTTGGCAGTGGCGCGGGAAGGGGTGGTGTGTTGGCTGGCTGGCAGGTGGCATCCTCGCGGTGCTGCGGTGCCAGGCAGGAAGCTCCCCGACTTCCCCCTCCCTTCCCTTGCCCGCCTCGTTTGTTTAGGATGACGGGCTCAGACACTTTTATTTCCCAATTATATGTATGAAAAAAGGACCCGTCCCCCTCCTTCCTCGCGCCTCATTTGCGTGGCGTTTTCGTCATTGTTGCTGATTTTACGCGGATACTTTATCACGACCGACGATGTCGGTCACAGGGTTACGTCAGAAGGTTGTGGAAAAAGGAGACGTAATTTTCAGATTACTCTTTGAAACTAAATTATTATCCTGTGAAGTCTGTAACTCTTGGCAGCGGAATGTAGTCTGTGAACTGCTGACCTCGAAACTTGGTGTTTGCTTTGCTGAGAGATATGCGCTTGTTTGACTCTGTTTCAGGGATACGAGGGTTCCTTACTAAAAGTTACCACTAAAAATGGAAAGACAGCTTCGGTGAGTTTTCCTCTCTTGGCATATTCTTGCCAACTTTGTTCCTCCTTGACCTTTTTGTGTCTTTGCAGCCCGTGGGCTTCGTGACGTTCCACACGAGGGCGGGGGCCGAGGCCGCGAAACAGGATCTTCAGGTGCGTGAAACAAACACTGTCCATCACTGACACCCACACACTTACACACACACACAGACACAGGGCCACACACTTATCTTGTCACACGGCGGTCGGGCGGTTGCCCCCTGAACACAGCACCGCTCCGTGTGCTCCGCTGCGGAAGAGACGGAAAATGTTTTTGAAGCGAGTGTACCTGTGTGATTTCCATTTCCTGTCCACCTGGCGGGGTTGCTGCACAGGGCTGCACGGTGCGGCACGAGTGGTTGTGTTGCAGCTTCCAAGCGACACTTTGAGGGCCTCCGCCAATGTACATACAATCCGGACACTCACTCACCCCCACCCAACCAATCATACCAACCTAACCTAGTGGCTGGACGGTTTAGCGCACTCGCTGTAGACACCATGACGTCATCATGACGTCCTTCACGACGTTCTTCACGGCACTTGTTCACGTACGCTGTACAAAGGTGCCAGCAGCGCAGTCTCGACTGCAGTCTTGCCACCATCCCCGTGTCCTTGTTTAGAGTGGTACTTCTTCTTTCTTACCTGTGTACACACGCATCGAACCGCTGCATTCGATTGGTATCATTGGTTGGGTTCCGTCACGGACAGGGTCTAGAGTGTGAATCTTTGCGGGAAAGGGTGTCTAATGTGTGAATGAGCCAAATTAACAAATTGGGAATGTTTAAGGGTTTTCGTTTCTTGGAAACCGCAAATCCTTTCAAAAATAAAATCCAACGCAATCATACTGGAAATGAATGCGTGGTTTGAGAATGAATGTGAGCACTGCTGTTGGATACTTCCAACGCTTCTAGTTTGACCCCCACTAACTCACAGCTTACACAGGTACTTCCGGAATCCCCCAAGTTGTTTCTTCTTTCCAGAATTTGATGACTAACTCGGTCACTTCTTGTACTACCCTCTGACAATGATTGATTTCGCAAGCACCTGTTTGAAAGTATGATCATGGTATTTCAGTTTGTAACAATGCTTCTTTGCAATTAATTTCCGTGCAATCGGACTAAAGTATAATTTTTTGTGGTTTCTTTCACGAAAGCTAGTAAATTTTGGGACATTTTACTAATTTTGTTAGTTACATAAAGTTTTTATTATTCCGTGATTCTTAAAATTATGAGCATCTCAATATGTTCTTTCATAAGAAGCATCGTTACACTTTGTGCTAGTGTACTTTTTTTTTCAAATGGACCACACCAACCGCACTATATGACCACCATTTTACCTCAATTGTTTTTTCCTTTTTTGTTTTTGGGCTGGGCCTTTGTCTACAGCAGGGTGTTCGGTTCGACCCGGACTTGCCTCAAACGATTCGCCTCGAGTTTGCCAAGAGCAACACCAAAGTTAGCAAGCCAAAGCAACCCAGCGCGTCGGTCGCGCCCGCTCACCAGACCCTCATGCACCCACTCACCCAACGTAAGTACCGCACCGTCACTCCCTTGGCGCCACACCCTGGCCTACCTGACGAGCCGGCACGCGCTGCGCCCCTGACAGACCACGCGCAAAGAAAAATTAAATCAAATTTAGTTTCGCAGTTTTAATGAGATGGTATATCTTTGAATCTATAAACCTTTTTTGACATTTCGCGCCGTGATGTGGTTGGGGTGCAGCGCGCGTTGGCAAGCCTGCCGCTTGCATGCAACCATTGCCTGACCACCAACCGCTTGCACCTGCATCTAGCTCCTGTGCCCTGTAAGGTGCCTTTCACAGGTGTTTTGTTTAATCTTACTTTCTCTTTTCTATCCTTGGGTGCCTTGACCAAGTGAGATATGATGCTCTCATGGCTGGGCGGGTCGACGCATAATGGGGGAAGGGGGTCCTGCATGACACTGTTTCTTTTTAATATTTTGTTAACTTGCAGTTCATCTCTACATCATCGTGGTATTGTAGTTGAGATTTACTTATTCTGTTGGTTAGGGTACAAGTAGGTTTCAATTTTTACCTCGGTAAAGGTAGGTTTTCTTGTCTGTGCTTTCGATTTCTTCGTTTTCTCTTTTAAGTCATGCTTCATACAAAACAGCGCTGAATTGTCATTTCATGTGTTTGGTTCTTTCTTTATAATTTGTGTTTGTTGATGCGCTTTTGGTTTCTCAGCCGGGCTGTTTTAACAAGGTTAAAACGCGTCCTCTGAAGGCCTCAGCGCAACCACAAATTTATGTTATGTCATTCCGTTGTGTTAATTTGCGGCCTTTGATGCGCGTAGGATAGAGATTCCGGAATGCATGGCATATTTCTGGAAAGGTTGAAATCAAACACGCTTAAGTTTAGAACTTCTTTTCTTCATTTTTTTTAAAATTTATAGTGGCCGTACTGGCGTTTGTTCTGCTTTCCTCCTCTCATGACCAAGTGCGAGCGAGAAGCACGAAAACGGTCTGCTCGAAACAATACGGCTTTGGCGCCCTTTCGACGCAAAGCCCGATATCTTGCCGCCCCGTGCCGTCAGTGTATTTCTCAGTGGGTCGCGTCGCTACCGGTTGACAAAGCTGCTCTGCCGAGCAGCTACAATCCGTTTGTTTCTGCATCAATTTCGTCGCGAGGGGGTGGGGGCGGCGCTGCAGGGTGTGTAAGTGCCAAAGCAGGGCCCCTAGTGCTGCCTGCCTGGCGGGCTGCCTGGCGGCTGCGCTAGGTACGGAGACCGTGGGGCGGAAGGGCCCTAAACGACTCACCGCCCTTATGCACACAGCAGCGACATTAGAATGGAATTAGCCGACCCGTGTAATGAGGCGGCCAGATTTATCAGTGGTGCAAACATTGCCCTTCCGATCCGACCGCGCTAGTTCCCGCGGTGTAGTTCCAGGTGGGGCGAGGCTGGCGGCGCAGTGCGGTGATATTACACTGCGAAAAAGAATACACACAGCAGCGGTAGCTCCCCAGCAAGCGCGTGGGCACTTTTGTTTTGCTCTCGGTGATGAATTGAAAACAAGCGCGAAGTGCCGCCGGTTTTGGATAGTGTTTAATCCGGGCTTCCATCGAGGCGGGCGGCGCCTTTCCGGGCGAGTGGTGGGGAGTGGTGGCCGTTTGCCGGGTCCACTGCATCCAAACGAGCCACCGGGGATCGGGCTGCATCTCGCATAACTGCGGCCGATTTGGCGCCATTTTCGATTTGGCGCCATTTTCGGATTTGGCGCCATTTTCCGAGTCAGGCCGGAAGTGAGGTTAGGTTCCGCGGGACGCGCGGGAAAACAGGGAGGCCGTATCGATGGCCGGGACAGGGACGACACGGGCTGGCACCGCTTCGTGCCGCACGCGCCGTGAGGCAGACAGTCGATGTTCCTCTCTCGCACTCATGGGTTCTCCGTACAGGTGCGAGAGAGCGACGAAAGCGACTCCCGGAATCAGTGTGCTGTGTCGTGTCGATCGACGGCGAGGCCGCGATAGCGGGGATGTCCGGCCGGCACGGCAGGCCGACGGCAGGCTGCCAGGCTCGCATGCGTGCGGCCTTGGCGCTCGGCAGGCAGCTTGCAGCCGCGATGCACCCTTCGACTCGCTGTCTCGTAGAGCGAATGACGAGCGATCGATGTCTCGACGGGCCGTGGGCCGTTGTGATTGGCTGGCGGCGCGCGTGTCTGGGTCCTGGCGTGACTGGCAGCCAGGACAGCCCGGCCGGCACGAACGTCGCTTCAGTGTGTTTTCCCTGAATGTTCGGCGGCGTCTCTTTCGGGCTGGCACCGACCAGACCGGCGCATGCGGGCCGAACGCTGGCAGGGCGCTGAAGACGTTGTGGGGAATTTTGGGATTAGCTGGAAACAGGAAGCCGACTTGGTGGCCTACGCACCTCCCCGGGCCGCCGCGCTCACCTGCCGACGCAAGACCGGTTGCCCGGTAATTAAAGTTAAATTTTAAAATTCAATCTGGGCCGGGCTTGCCGCGCCAACTTGGCGGGCAAACTTGCACAGCCAAAGGGGCGGCCAAAGCGGCGGCAATCGGAGGGACGCGATGCGGCTCGGCTTAGAATCGGCCTCGCGTGGACACTGTCAAAAAAAGTTGATCGAATTGGCTTAATTTTTAAAAAGGTTGCGCTGGCAACCCTACATTCAACACAATATAACTAGTGTAAGTCATTTGGACTTCTCAAGTAATGGCCAGCATGACTTTAAATATTTTTATTTTATTATTATTACTAGGCATGTTTCTCATTGTGATATGCATGGAGTTGTAATCTATTTTTCGTTCCCTAAGCATCAACATGGTCGGTATGGTTCGCGCCACATTGTACAGAGGTCATGAGACGTAGGCGCCACTCATAGTGGTAATCCACTCTAGAAACTCAGTGTGCGTTATACAGTTTGCACCCGAGGTGGGTCTGTACACTCACACTGTTATGTTTCTAGAGCTGGTAGTGGCTTCACCTCGTTTCTTCAAGACTGGGGTGCACCGTTGAATGCACCCAGTGTAGCTATAGATTCTAGTTTCTAATGCTTAAGGGATGGTGAACACCGAACCGTCTCGGGACTTTGAGTCATACAGACCCTCGTGTCGGAGGGACGTGTAGGAGGGATGAGGGTGATATTCAGTCGAACAGCCTGCGGAAGCGCTAAGCTTGACCCTTTGGAAAATAAAGACTCTGATACTGCTTCCCTGCCCGCGGCGAGGCCGAGGCCGAGACTGACCCTGTTGTTGTTTTGCTTGCAGACTTGTCGCCGTTCTACCCGGGTGCGCCGGAACTGTGGCAGCATCCGATAGCCTTCTCGACCGCGGCGGAGCTGCCCGGGCCCGCGCTCCACCACCTGGTGCATCCCGCGCTGCACCCGCAGCTGCCCGTACGTTCCTACCTCTGACTAGCCTCCAGCAGCAAGAGCCAGGCGGGGCCGCCGCCGGGGCCGCCAGGGCCGCCGGGGCCGCAGCCAGGGCACGGCCATCTGCCGGCTGCGGGGGGCCCCCTCGGCCCGCTCGGCCCCCTGGGCCCCCTGGGCCCCTTGGGCCCCATCTGCAGCGGCGTGAGCCATGGCGGACAAGGAGTGTGCACGGCGACGGGCCAGTGCGGCAACCAGTGCGGCAACCAGACCCACCACGTTAGTCCAAACGCCTCACGTACTCACTCACTCCGGCGGGTCCACTTCCTGGGCCTCCTTGGCCACCTCCAGAGGCGACGCGCGAACGAAGCGGCGAGCAGCGGAGCCCCCTTCTGGGCGCTCGCGGTGCTCAATCTGATGCCGTTCATTTTTCCTTTGTCAGAACGAATGAAACTGAGGCAAAATTTAGTCGTGCCCCTCCAACACAGCTACATATTCTGTCTCTCCAACACCACACCAGGCAATCTTCTCTCGGACTTGGGCGGTTAGGAATTGAGGGTTTTCTAAAAGGGCAGCTCCCAGCCTGACAGTGGATTGTCAGTTCAAACAGCAGCGGTGTACGCTTGCACCGTTCCCACTTTTTAACCGTCAAACGCGCGAAGTGCTGCAGTCTATGCAACTTCAACCCTTTTAAAGTCACTCTTTAGGTTGAAACGACAGGAAGTTTTAAAAATAAACAGTTAGGAGGAAAGAAAGACTTTTTCCAAGCAACCAGTCCAGTGTGACTACTACGCTTCCAAACAAAGCCTTACCGGACTCGACACACCTGCTTTTTAGTTGCCTGCATCACCCGCGTAGAACATTTACCTAAACCCGTTGCAGAGACGAGGGCCGCCCTGCCGCCCCATTCTCTGTCTCTCTCTTTCTCACCAGGACAGACGACGCCGCGACATCCCTCTCGTATTAGGCTCGAGACCCTCTGAAAACCGGAAGTGGACCTTGCTGGAGCTTATTAGACTGCACCTTCTGTCTTTCTTATATGTGTCTCTTTGGATTGTTTTCGTCTCTCTGTTGACTTTTTTTTTGTCACTCGCACGCTTTCGTCCTGAAATTCTGTTCTTTGTTATTGTCTGTCTCTGTCTCTCCCTAGCTTACTTTTCACGTTTCTCAATGATTTTTTTTTTCACACTGCATGTTCTTTTTTCTCAGACGATTAATAGTCGAGCGCTATCAAGCACAAGATTTACCAGTGTGGTGTCTCTGCACTTTTTAGGAATGTCTCACGTGCACTTTTTTTGTACTAGTCATTATTTTCGAAGCACTCGTCACGTTTTTTTACACTGTTTTTTTTTTATTTGCTCGTCACTCGGTCATCTTTGTGAGCGCGAGCAGAGAGCCGTATCTTGCCTTGGCACCAAATCACCTCAACGCCACCCCCACCCTATCGGCACTGCGCTGCAAAAAAAAAGGAATAACTAAAAAAAGAATTCCACCTTCCTAGCACTGCGTTACCCTCCCTCCCCCTTTTTCACCTCAGTCCCCATCGCTCCAGAAGCCGTCTCCAGAGAGACGCATTCCTGCAGAGAATCTCCTTTTGGAATCCACTCCCGTGCAACGGCGCGAGATTTGAACTATCGAGAATGCACGTTTGGCACGTGACAAAAAAAATTAACGAGTCTCAGAAAATTTATCTCAGATTTTCCTCTAGAAATGAGTCCCACGATTCGATCATCTGAATGCAATTAGTAGTTTCACATTCGAAAAAAAGGGAGAGGGGGCTTTAGAAATCAGAAATCCTCCAGCACTGAATTGTAGTGAACCCTGGCTAGGTCCCTTATTTGACTTTTTCAGTCAAAGAAACCTGTACTTTAGTATAAGGTGGGAGAGTACTGGAAAAAGTCCAGAGGTAAAAATAGGTCTCGATGGCCCTTGTTTAAATATCGTCTGGTTTCTCACTCCCCGTTCTTTTCTGTCTCTAATCTTTCCTTGATCTGCGTCTTTCTCTTCCTCTCTGTTCCCACTTTTGGCAGGTAGGCCTGGTTCGCGTCGATCCTTCCCTGACCCCACGTGCGCGCACAGACACACACATACTGTATCCGTCGCGACGCACACCGACACACTCACACTAACGCCCCGCAGCCCTGTCTCTATGGCTCCCCCTGCCTTGTCTTGAGTGGGAGAGAGACACGGCATTTGTGCTTGGGTCGAAAGCGCCGTCGAAAAGGTGTGGCCTCACTCTTACGAAATCCACCGCGGGTGGTCATTTTTAATCTCAGTGATATGTTTATTTTTGAAAAGACTGAATGAATGGATAGATGGATGGATGGATGGATGGTTTTGTAAGAGTGCGGCTCTGCCTCTTCGCAGTGCGGTGTCCTCGCTGGTGCCTCTGCACTTGTTCCCACTGCAGGACTTCTCTGAAGTGTCCTAAAGCAGTGCACTGAAAGTCGCTGTGATCAGTGGCAGCGGGAGGAAACATACCTATCTGGCATTTCCAAAAAAATAAATGGGTTTCCTCTCTGGCAAGACCAAGGAAAGATAAGGTTCCGAACAAAATTGCAATTCTACCTAAATTGTTGTAATGAAACTTTTTTTTTTCGTTTTACAAATTGTTCAAAATTTTGAGTATTGTTTTTTAAAGGAAACTTACTTTTTCTACAATCTTGTTTTTATTTTAGAAAACAATAACACATGATCTGTACAGAGTTTTAAATCGCTTGTTAAACTTACAGGAATGAACCGGTCGATGTTAGACTTGCATGGCCTTCCCTGTGATTTGCTTTGCTCGCTTTCAAAGATCAGTCAGAGCAGAAGGAAATAACCTCTGCCCTATACCTGTTTTAATCGTTTCAAAGCATTTTTTGTGTCCTTTTTTCCGTTAACATTTCAACCTGATCTGTGGAAACGAGCAACATTTGCTAACATTTCTCATGGATTTAAAACTGTACTTGTTGGACGATTGGATGGACGCGCTGACTCAGACTGCAATGCCAAGTGCACTCTCATGCGTTGCTTCAGCACTTCCATCCAACGGCCCGCAGCAACTTAACGTGGTTATTTGCATTCACAATCTGGAATAAGTGCTTTTGGTGTAACTCAGAAAAGCCTCTAGTTTGTTTTCGACGGCATAATGCAAATAGCTTTTAGCGTGTTTGTGGTTTTCTGCACCAGGTGTCTTTTGTAGGGGCCTCTGTGTCCTCTGACAAGCCGCGACCAGAGTTCTCTGCTTCAGTTAAATTATTTTTTTTTTTAATGCGTAGCTTTGAAATTTGAAGTTGAGATCCACTGAAGCCGAGAGCTTTGGTCCGCGGACGCTGCGGTCCACCCTGGCCGGGCTGGTGGTGACGGAGTGCGTTGGTTGGCAGGACATGAACGGCGTGTGTGGGCAACAGGCCGACGCGTGGCGCGTGTTCGGGCCCCAGGGCCACGGCCACGGCCACGGCCAGGGCATGCCACACTTCCTACCGTCCCCGGCGCTGGCCTCGCCCGCGGGGTCCTCCTGCTCGCCCAGCGGACAGCACGGCGGCCACGGCGGCCACGGCCCCCACCCCCCGCAGGGCGCCCTGGCGCCCCAGCAGGGCCAGGGCCCGCCCTGCTCGGCGCTCTTCGTCACCGGCCTCGGCCAGTTCGTGTCCGAGCACGAGCTTAAGGACATCTTCAGCAGGTATGCGGTGCGCCCACTTTTACTACTACGCTAATTTTTAAGACAGCCCGATCGAACGCAGAGGGATGACGCCTGCCAAAGCTTTGATGAATTTCGGCGAACATGTTGTTCTGGGTTATTTCCCTCCGGACTCCTCCTCTTAATTCAAAGGAATCGCCTGTAGTCTATCCTTCTTACCCCCGCGCCTAAAACACACGGAAAGGAAGCATTAAAAGAGACGAAAGAAGGATGAAGTCGGGGTGGGGTCCGCAAACAAAAGTGTGGATGCCCTCCACTCCTCCTCCTCCTCCTCCTCTCCTTCCGCGCCCTAATTTTTAGGGCAGGTGGGCAGGTAGACACGGGGCCGCGCCCCGCCCGCCTCTCTGTCGACTCGTGTCGGCGCAGAATTTCCCGGCGGGGTCGTTTGTCCCCGTGATGGATGCCGAAGCGAGCCCGTCTGGTCGCCGTTTGCGTTCCGCACCCCACTCTCTCACGCTCTCGCCCTCTCAGTCTCTCGCGTGGAGCCAGCAGCGCCAGCAGCCACCGTCTGCCGTCCCGCTCGCCCCCCAAATCTTTTCCTCCCCCGTGATACCTTCTTTATATCTCTGTCTCCCCCCCCCCTGCATTTCCTCATTTTGGCCCAATCTCCTCTCATGGCCGCCCCGCGTCTGTTCAATCGCGTGCAAGTAGTGCCGTCCTGGCTCTCAAGGCTCCAGGCTCCGCTCTCCCCGGCAAGGCAAGCAAGCCGAGTCTCTCGCAGCGCGCCTGCGATCCCAGGGTAGGCAAGCCCGCCGAACTCGGCAGCGGCCGCGCGGCCTAGCCCCGACTTCGCAGGCGCTCCAGCCGACGCTTTACTCATTTGTTCCTCTCTGTCTGTGTGTTCCAGAGACCCTAATCTGCGGAAAATGGACAACCTTAATAGCTACTTGCAGCTCAGCACATGAACTGGAAGAGGCTGCCGACGAGTGTTAGAGTAGTGTACTCAGTGGGCTTGGCTGAGCCTAGCTGTTGAAGGCCTCAATATTTCTTTACATTCCATTGATACCTTTTAAAAAAAATAACACAAAAATTGATGTAAACCAAAGGTGCCCCAAATTGTACTCTTAAAAAAATATGAAGTTTTGTTTGCAGGAACAAGTGAAAATGGCTAAAACGTTTGATCAATTATCCGTTGTCGGCATATGATTTTCTTTTTTAAAGTCGCATGATTTCATGCTGTCTATCGGAGGGCTGCTGAAAATGCATTTTAAGAAGCATTTATGTATGATCTTGATAAGCAAGACTTTATTTTTATTTCCCTATTCTCAAGAAAAAGCAAGCTTATGTTTCTTTTTCTACCTATGAATGCGTTTTAGAATTATGTTTTGCTATAATGCAGTCATATGTTTTATATTTTGCTGACTTTCATTATCTGGTGATTGCATTTAGTGTTATATGAGGCAGAGGTGAATCACATGAATTTTAGCCTTACAATAGGTTAAGAAAGGCTTTTTTGAAGTGTTAATCATTGTAGTAACACAAACTAATTTATTTGTTGATTTATTCGTGTTTGACTTTTATGTAGGTTTGTTCAGTGATGGATAGCAATAAACCAAAATAACTTGAGGGTGGGGTGAATAGGAGAGTCCGTTGCTGGCACCTAATTTACCTCCTTGTACCAAAGCAATGCCATGGTGACTTCTTCACCTACCCCAAGGCAACAGTACTCATTGTCATAGGAGCAGAATAACTGCTTGTCTTGTAGTGTGTGATTGACAGATTTTGTAATATTTCTACTGTGCCGTTCATGAGAATTTAAAACATTCAGTGTTAGCTGCTTACATTGTTATGAGCCTCTCTTGTAGTTTATTTTAGCAGTATTTCTGCCAGAGATCTCAGTGAAGAAGTGTTATGCAGGGCAATTCCAAACTCAGTGTTTTGTTGATATGACCTCCTCAATTGTGAGTTAATTTATCATACTGGGGTGGAAGGTTGAACAAAATGTATTTCAGTCCATTTTCTCAATATGGCCCGAACGGTACTGTAAGTAGACTGACCATTGCTTGTTAATATTGGACAATCGCAAATTGGAGCCATTTGAGACACTGTGGTTCCTGCAGTAAATCCTGCTAGTTTCCTTCCTCTGCCAAGTTCAGCAGTGCAAAAGTCTTAGTCAATAACTTCTTGTTATTTCATAGAACCATGACAGAACAAATACTTGATCTAGAAAATGGAAGCAGAGCAAAAGATCTTTGCCGCTATCAACAAGATGGTTACCACTAGCACTTGCACTGCAGAACCTCAGTGCCTCCATCTCCTACATCATTTGACAGGCATAACTTTTTATGTAGAATTATATATTATATGCTCTGTGTTGATTTCTGTTTGAAACAAATGTAGTAGAATCTTTTATGAGAGTAATATTTATTGATCTAGTAGTCGCTTTGTGTGTGCAAGGTTGATGTGATATTTCATAGAATTATGATAAATTGTGTGGACTGAACACATGCAGCTGTACTAGCAAAAATATAGGTGTATCTAGCATGGTTGAAGGAACTCCTTTGAATTCATGAATGCTGTTTCTCGCAGAAACTAGGCAATCATGAAACAAAGAAAATAATAAAATCTGTAATCTTTTGCATGAAATAGAACACCTTGCTAGTACCAGTGAAATTGTGTCAGCCCTTTCTGTTTGCGTACTGAGTGACAGATTGTGTTAGATTTGCTGAATCTCAGCTAAATATCATTAGACCTTTGAAGGTACTGGAGATCTAACACATGATGTTTACACAAGTATGTGAGAGTTTCCGTCCATTTTTTTTGTCTTTAAAATAAGAAAGACGTTATGCAGCTCAAAGCTACAGGGGCGATCCTTGTTGTGGGGCACACTGGGGATTGCAGAAAACACACATATCAGCTTAAATTAAGAAAAATTAGGTAAATTTGAATTATGAGATCCGAACCTATTTGTTGTTTCTGTCAACATGACTTGTTTAGCAATGCTAATTGTATTATGAAAATATTATCTATTGCTATTTATAATGTATTAAGAGGATCAATTACAAGGGCTCCTATTTCTGTTTAGTTGTACACAGAGACATGCAAACAGTGAGATAATCAGTGCTCATTGTGTACCTGTGTATATCATCTTAAAACCTGTGTAAGAGATGCTTGTTATGTTTTTGAGCATTGCAAAGATAAACCAAAGTTGTACATAGCTTTTAAAGACGCATGATAAGTAGACTACTTGGGTAGATTTGCCCACTAAGATTATTCACGATTCTAATTTCTCCATTTTCATTACTAGTGGCTCTCTTTTTGAAGTTTGCATTTTTAAAATGTGCTTGACTCTTGGCGATCTTGAACTTTTGTCATATTCTAAATTTGGCAGCTTTTGCGGGCCCTTCAAGTCCCTCTCTACAAACCAAAGAGAAATATTGTGTACTTTCTTCTTCGCTGAAGTAGTTTAGAAATGCAGCCAGTACTCAGGAGGCATTGTGATAACTTGTCTAGCATGCAAATACTTAAAATGTCTTTGTGTTGATAACCAGACAAACCTTACCAAAATTGAGATTTAAACATGCTTGCCTCTCCTTGCAGACAGGCTCGTCACACCCTCTCTTGACCATACCATTTGAAATTGCAAGTCCAAATCCTACTGTCCAAAGCTGACTGGACTGAGGTCCCTTTCCCTTTTTGTACACATTTCTTACTGTTCTCCTGGAAGGCTAAGCTTTTCCCTTCATGTCTCTGTGTGCACCACCTTCTTTCCCTTCCTTCTCAATGCAAATTATGGGGCTCAAATATGTAGGCTAAAGTGTTGATTATTTTTAATATTCCAATAAACTTGTGGAATTGATCCTTTTTTAATTTTTTTGTTTTTGATTTGTTATGTACAATTACATTGTTATTTCAAATTTATGAAATGCAAAAAGAAAAATTACAAAAAATCTTTTATGTACTTTATGAGTAGAGGGAAACTATGCTTCATATCTGTTTTACTGGCTATGTAATAAACCTGTTAGTCATTCATAGATTCTGATCAGACGAAGGTCCAGTAATTTTGTTTTGAATTATTAGCCAGATCAAACTGTTACTTTTTAATTGTTATCTTCTGTGATTGAGCAGAGTGACAACTGTGGAAGTTTGAGTCAATTCAAACAGGCAACTAGCAATAATAAAATCTACTGCACTTTCCATGTGAAATGCTCTATTTTGAATCCATGTGGAGTTCTGACTGAACCTGTGCACCAAGGAAGTCAGATTAATTAGATTCAACCAATTTTACATTCAAAAGTAATTGAATGCTCTATTTTACTATTAATATTTGAACCATTCTATTAAGATTAGTGAACAGCTAAGGTTAATTATCTGTTGTGTGATTAGCAGATGATGTGAGGAAAGTCGATCTCAAATGTTTGTTGACTATTTAGTTTGAGCCCCATAATGCAAATTTCCTCAATGTTATTTCTAAGTAAACTTTTTTTTATCTCTTATACGGAGCTATGTGATATAATCTAACTATAACCACTCACGCCTTCTGATGAGCCAGCTTTAGGTACTAGAACATAAAACACCAGTTTCTAAACATATCATGATCTGTGCCCCCTATTGATGAGACATCATAAAATTTTAGAAATGTTAAATAAAGTGAAGTTTGATATATATTATGACATGAGAATTTACAAAACAAATCTTTTTCAAATGTTTAAGGGTTTTGTGTATTTCTATCAATGAGTACTTATTACTTTTACTCTTTAATATAAATGTATGATTTTTAAGTTTGTTACTAAAAGAGTTGACATATCATTGTTCAACAGTGTAACATGTGCATGTCCAAATTGTGTGTCTGGTTTTAGTGCTTATGCCACACACACACACATGTTGTGTGCTCAACATGCAACTTAAAATTATGAATCACCAAGTCAATTTATGCATGTCAGTTTTGAACCTAGCCAACTTCTTGAGGGGCTAGCAACTATCATGCCTATGTCCATTACCGATTTACATGACCAGCCCTGTGAGTGTGTATGTGTGTGTGTGCATTTCAGAGTGAATGTGAGTGAAAACTGCAATATTGTTATCAAAACCAAATAGATGAGCTTTGTTGGATCATCATTGATTCCTGTTTTGTAGATTTAACTTGGCAGGAAGACTTTCTTCCTCTTCTCTACAGTTGTAGTTTGTGTGGCGTTACTATTGTAGGACTAAAAAGGGAATTACATTTTTGTAATTATAAGGTTCAAATCAAGAATATTAAGAAACTGGAGGGTTGGTGTGCAATGGAACGGATGTGGAAACATTCATAGACAATCTCCCTGGTTGATTTGACAATTGGAAAATATTTGCTTAATTTAAGGATTGTTAACTATACTATTCCAAAGATGAGCTAGATTTCCACCAAAATGGAAAGTTACCTGTGTGATAAGTCTGTAAAAACAGAATTTGCCTTCAATAACCATATCACTAATTGTTAACTTTACAATTGACAGATCACCACATGTTGTCTATGAGGTTTGGAAGACTTAGACAATTACTATTTTTTTTCCTCTCTCGACTACTCTTTATGTATTTGCGGTGCCGCCTGGTTCAGTCCATGCATGTGAGAGTCATGTATCATAACACCCAAAAATTTTGTTAAGCACTTAAAAAAAAATCAGAGTTTCGAGATCAGCTAAATGTTCCAGGTACAATCTTAGTTGAGGAAAATTGTAATTTTGCCTGACACAAATCTCTCTGTACTTGTTCTCTTACTGTCATCTCAAGTATGAACAATCCTCTTTATTGAGGAAAACTAGTGTGGCCCATGATTTTTCTATCTCTACTTACCTAGAGTAATGACTGAGTTGACTTGAGCGGGATTCCATAAAGAAGTGTTCTGTTATCTTTTCATGGAGGATAATTTAAGTGGTTTTCTAAAGCATAGATATATTAATATATTTTCATTATTTTAGAAGTAAAAATTTGTCAGTTATTTTTATTAAAAACAATATGTGGCCCCATATTGTTAGTTTTTCTTTGTTAACATTTATAGTCGTGAGAGAGAAGTCATAGTGTATGTATTAAGTCTGTATGGCATACTGAATTAAACCAATCCAAGACAGATGCTGATTCCCATATTGCTGTTTTAGCTTTGACAGGGCGCAATGTGAAATATGCTTTCATTGACATCCTTGCGAACTTTCTTCATTAATGTAAATTTCTAATATAATCTCAATTTTCCTCCAAAGTTTCCTTTGTATTCCTCCAAGTTCACCTGTTAATTTTCACACAGTTGTTTCCATGCGCCCTGCATGTATAAAGAAAATATCATCTCCAACTTGTTAACATTTATTATGGTTATCAGTTGTTACCATGACTCTACCAAAATACTTGGTTATGATCTAGTTGTAAAGTAGAACTTTTCTGAATAACAGCAGCAAATGGTTTCATGAGGAAGTTGTGTATCACAAGCGCAGTCAGAGTCATGAGCTAGTCACCACGTTATGGCATGTGACCACCACCATCCTCTCAACGTGATAAAATATAATAAAGAATCTACTGTTTCCTCATCAATTCAATTTTTTTGATTTTGTGTGGTTAACTGTGGCCCAGAGAAGAATGTAACTGGCAAATCTGATTTGAATTTTCATTGCAGATCAGATCTCTGTATAGGGTCCAAAGAAGGAATAAACTGTCTGTGTAAAGTATATTTATGTCCTTTCCTTATTTAGTATCCCCCACCCACCTTTTCTCACCTGCTCTATCTCTCAACTCACACGGAAAAAGTCATTTTTACACCAAATTACATGTCTCAAATGGCCCAAATTGGACTATGTTCTGCTGGAGAATTCCCTTAGGACTCCTGTCACTATTCCGAGGATTGCGACAGCCTTTTCGGCCATAGACAGTCTCTTTCTGGCGAGAAACTCGAATCTTTTAAGCATGCGCCGGAAAGGTAGGCAACCCATCGTACAGCTGCGGCAGTAGACGCGTACTTCCCCGAGGCCGACCGACCGCTTTCCGCTTCCGCCTGTACACTGTGGGAGGGTGGGGGTCCGCCAGCCAACCAGAGCTTGACTTCCCCCTCCCCACCCTCATGGGAAGATAGACGGACACTTAGCTAAACAGAGACAGACTGGCAATAAGCAGACGACAAACCTCAAAAGTACGAAGGTAATCGAATCAAAATAAATGCCCTGTAGCTGCGTTGAACGACCGTAAATCTCTGCCATTACGATATGCTAACACTTCAGCCTAGTTTACCTGAAGCCGTTTACGCTGATAGTTCTGTCCTATCGCAGATTTTAATATAATGAGAAACCTTAGCCTCTCAAATTGTCTACAGGTTGTAGCTCTTTGCATCATGCAATTTAAGTCATGTCCTCTTACAGGTAATGAAACTACGGTGGCAAATTCTTTTGAAGAGATCATTCTCCAATTATCCCTCCTCTGCCAAGAGTTCCAAAACCATGAATTCAAAGGGAATTATTGCTGTATGCCAGATGACAGCAACAGATAACAAGGCAAAAAATCTAGAAATATGCACTGATCTTGTATCGTCTGCCAAAAGAATGAACGCCCAGGTTGGTTTCACACAAAATTTTGGCTGCAATTTTTGTTTTTCGTGTTAAAGTAGAAGTAGGCTCAAAATGTCTTGATAGGTGGTTTTCCTTCCAGAAGCATGTGATTACATTGCCGGAAATAAAGTACAGTCTGTTGCAATGGCCGAAAGTCTAGATGGGCCACTCTTAGAACAGTACAAGAACTTAGCGAAGTCATTTGGAGTGTGGCTTTCCCTTGGCGGATTGCATATAAAGGTAATACTTTTTTCATCGAAAAACACAAATACTAAATTTGTTATTGTACTAAACACACATCCTAGATTTATTTTTGTTTGCCTATTTAGGTAGATGACGAGACTGTTAGCAATACTCACGTGCTAATCAGTTCAAACGGAGAAATTAAGTCAACCTATTCAAAACTTCATCTATTTGATGTTGATTGCAAGGAAGTTAATGTCTGCCTAAAAGAATCTTCGTATTGCAAACCTGGGGATAAGATTGTGCCTCCAGTGGCAACTCCTGTCGGGAATGTTGCATTGTCCATCGTATCCTTCACATTGTGAATTAATATCTAGGTTTTCGTTCAAAAAATTGAGATATTTTCCCTAACTCCTATCAGTGTTATGATTTGCGATTTCCAGAGCTAAGTACTAGCCTGGCTATGCAAAATGCACATATTCTTACTTTCCCATCAGCGTTTACATATGCAACAGGTAAAGCACATTGGGAGCCTTTGCTGAGAGCAAGAGCAATTGAAAATCAGTGCTATGTAGTTGCTGCAGCACAGAGTGGTAAACACAATGATAAGCGAACCTCTTGGGGACATGCAATGGTATTACTATTTTTTTGAACCACCTTATTCATATTTTCTCTTTCAAGAAGGTTTTCAATTAATTTAATACATTCTGCATAGGTGGTTGATCCATGGGGTACTGTTATCGGTGAGTGCTCTGAGGTCAACAATATTGCTGTGGCTGAGATCGACCTGGAATTCCTGCGCAGAACTAGGCTATCAATGCCAGTATTTGAGCATCGAAGAAATGATGTTTATCCTGCTCTGTGGCCAAAACTTGATTCAGATGCTGTTGCAAACCATCAAGAATCAGAAACTTACAAATTTGGTCAAGTTACGGTAAAAAGCAGTGGAGTATTTTCCAAGACTGACCTCACTATAGCATTTACTAATAAGAAGTGTGTTGTCCCAGGACGTATCCTTCTAAACTGAACACATGTTGAAGTTTGCATGCTGTCAGCTATCTGCATTTCAAAAATAATTTCTTAACAGGAGAATTCAGATGTACTTGTGAGTCCCATTAGGTGTGTTCAACGAATGTCTGAACTCACTGTAAAAGAAGTTTCAGACATGTTTGCGCTTGTAAGCAAAGTCATTCCAATTGTAGAAAAAGCTTATAACGGCACTTCATCTACAGTTGTTGTTCAGGATGGAAAAGATGCTGGTCAAACCATTCAGGTGTGTATCTTGCAAGACTTCATCCAAAACGATTACCTTAGATTACCCTTTCTTAACAAATTAATTTTTTCAGCACGTCCATGTGCACATTTTGCCTCGCCGTCCAGGGGATTACCTCAACAATGATGATATATACAGAGACCTTGCTAAACATGATAAGGCAGACTCAACTATAGGACAGTGGCGGTCAGAGGAGGAGATGGCACAAGAGGCAGATTTTCTGAGGAAGTTATTTGTATAACAGTGCCATAAATAAATTTCATTTTAAGATGAGAATGAAAGTTGTCACTTGATTTTCCTTCAGCAAACTCAAAGTAGAGATGGAAAGAAAGAGACTGAAGGTGAATTCGGATGAAAGCATAGGAGTTATGAGGAAATGATACTTCAGCATTTTTAACAATGGTTGTAAATTATTTTATTTGATCAGTATACAGGTAATAAAAAACTGACTTCTACAAAACTATACATATTTTTGGAAGTAGAAGTTTCTTTAATGAATAGAAAATGCTTAATTAGGTCCTTTAGTTTTGCCAAATTTGATTTGTGATGTTTCACTGTTACATCTGATCATACACTAACAAGGTGGGAATTCATTAAAATATAGTACATGAGAAATTTAAAACATGGATTTTAAGTTATTGATTTAAAAAATATGAAGGCACAGCACACAAACCAATACACATATTCACACACAAGCGCACACACACTAAATAATAAAATACAAATGAACCACAGCCTTAAGATTAATGTCAGGGAATCAAACACTGCATTAACGCAGGAGTGACAATGAGAGTGCAATTTCCAATTGAGCAATCGAAGTTGTGAAAATGCATGAAAAGCTTAAATACAACAAAATCACAGTCCATACCGAAGTTACCAGGGACAACTTGAGCTATCACTAAACCCTGTATTTTAGACCTAAAGAGAGCAAAGGTGAGGATATGCTTTGGAACCTCTTCAGTAACAAGATTTGTACAGTTATTTTTCAGTGTGAACACTGACGGTACATCTACCTGGTTATGAGAACAGATCTGTAGGACAGATTTATTTCTTCTTCCCCTTTTTGCTGTCATCTGCACTTTCTAATGACTTCTTCATTCCGTATGTGTTGATTGCTGCAAGTTAGAAAAATTTGCAATTAAGGAAAGAGGCCAGAGAAATACAAGGAGCAGAGAGGAGGCAAATGAGATGGATGACGCACCTTTGTATTCCTTATCACACTTGTTCAGCAGCTCAAACCATTGCATTCCAGAGATGCGGGGCATGGCAACACTTCCTCCATAAACATCGGGCAGGCACTTCGGGCTCATGTAGCTGTGCAGAGAATCCCTGTCGTTGCCATGGAAAATAATCTGCAGGACAAAGTACAAGTTTTAGAAAATTTGTAAAATTGTTCTGAATCGGCAATGTAGTCAGTTTTACCACTCACTCTGTTCCTCAGTTTTTCCCGGAGGAAAGGCTTGAACAAAGCAAAGACCATGTTGAAAATGTAAGGCTGGTTGATGATGTGAATGTTCTTGACTCTGAGAGGGACGCTGTCCTAAAGAACCAAATAACAGCAAGCATTAATAATTTCAATCAATCAGTGAGAGATGACAGAATTTGTAACATAGGCTCTAAGCTTACCTGCAGCCAATCCACAATCCTCTTGGCAAAAGGCGGTGTGAACTGCCACACCTGTTGCATGCTGAGGCCTTCCATGTCGAATATAACAACAGCACCGCAGACTTGAGTCTCTGGCTCCAACATGGCGGCTTCCAGGAACAGGACGCAACCCTTGAACACCTCATCCAAGGTCACCTTCTTGTGGTTCCACTTCTCTGAAAATTAAAGGCTTCATTTAGTCCCCACAATCCCAGTACCAACTTGAGGACGATTCAGAGCAGCGCCAGACGGTGACTCACTTCCGAGTTCCAGGACGAGAATGCGGCGACCCAGCTGGTCCCTGTTGGGGCACACCGTCAGGATGTTGGACTCGAACACGTTGCGCTCCTTGCTGGGCAGCAGGTCGCGGTACACGGCGCTGTGCTTCTCCTTGAACGAGTAGTAGTTCTTGATCTGCTCGTAGGCGCTCTCGGGGTAGTACTTGCAGGGCCGGAGGAAGCGCACAAGCCACGCGTCATTGTCCAGGGGCACCACCAGGTCCTTGTCCTCTGCAACACAAACACAACGTCAACGCTCTGCCTGCACTGTGGAAAGTCTAGGCAACCTCGACCCTGAAAACCTCCCCCTCCTCTCCCCCTCTTGGCAGCGCGCGGGCATGTCCGATAGGTCCGATGCAGGGGCACGCTTCCGGGAAGACCAGCAGCAAGATCTCCCTTGTAAACAAAAGGACTCGCAGGGAAGACACCGCGGGTATTCGAACCCAGGACCGACGCGAGTCGAAGGTTCCCACACGCACGCGCAGTCACACGTCACGCGACGTCACGGCGTCACACTGGGCGCCCAGACGGCTCCGGATAATTCGTCCTTTTTATAGCGAGTCCCGGTAATCGTGAGAAAAGCACAAGACAGTGGAGGCGACAGGCGCGCGGCACGCAGCCCACAGTGCGGCCGGCGAGAACGAGAATACCCGCCGAGCCAAATCCCTCGCATCGCTCATTAAGTCAAGCGGAAGAGTGCCCATGCAGAATGACCGGCGTGGGTTTCTCCTACAATTTAGTATTTCACACTGCACGTAGAACCCTGCACAGCCGGACTGCACAAACTCTGCCCCCATTTTTTTTAGATTAAAGTTTTTTTTTTTTTTGTTCTTTTTTTTTATGAGGTGTCCCAGTGCGGTAGCCAACCACGGCTTGAACCAGATCCCAAACCGCGAGGCGCGGAAAATTTGCCCGACCGCTCGAACTAGTCCCGTTGGGGCCGCCAAAGCAAAGCGGCACAGCGCTCCCATGCCAATTCGCGGGGAAGGCCCGCTTGGGGGGGGGGGCAACCGACTGGCAACAAGGCGTCGGTGCAGGGAGTGCTTCCGGAACGCGCCTTCGCTTCCGGGGGCGACGAAAATAAAACAGATTCTTTCTGCAACAAAACGAGTCTTACCCGCCAGCAGCTCGCGCAGCCGGTCCACGGCGGGGCCCACGTTCTCGGCCGTCTCCCGCAGCTCGTCGCGCGCCACCTCCTTGGTGCGGTCCGACATCTCGTTCAGCTCCAGCGTCAGCGTGAAGTCGCCCAGGTGCACCACGGGCAGCTCGTCGATGTCCGACAGCAGGGCCGTCTTGGCTGCAACGGAGAAAGGAGCTCGTCAGACAGAGACCAACACACAGCACAATCTGCCACTATCAAATGAAGCCCTAGAATTCGTGGGGTGGGCTTCACTTCGCCACTGTAGGTAGGCATAACTTTCGAGGCCCTCGCCCTCAACGCGACCTCATTTAAAACCGTGCATTACATAAAGCCCTCCGCTGCCGGCCATGTGCACCGCGCGCCTGACCGGTCACGGTCGGTCAGCGCGCCTGTCTGTCTCTCTCGCACCTACACGGGACGCTCCACGAGTGCGAGAGAGACAGAGCGACTCACAGTGCAGGCCACTTGCCCAACGAGACTCGGCGGCGCCCTTGGCCATTCCGCGAACGCCGAAGGCACGGGGCAGCGGTCACGCCAATGACTTTGGAATACCCACAAACAAATGACAAAAAAATTAAGAGAACTGATCCCGGCCGGGTTACCATGTTCGGGAGCCAGGCACCCGGGTCGGTGCACTTTATCAGCGAGATACGCCCTGCAGCTGGCCGAGAGCAGAGAGAGAGAGAGAGAGAGAGAGGCTGCCCTGCCGGCTTGTGCGAAAAGCAACATCGCTATGAGCGAGCCGCGTCCCAAACTCACGAGGCAGTCAAAGCGAGTCAAAACAATTCTGTTTGTTGTTGTCAAAATTGACTGAAATTAATCACTGACATTAAATGACGTCACGGTGAGCGTTTTGTGCTCTTTGGGGTGCCGCGGCCCCGCCTGTCCTTCACAGCGGCGAGGGGTCAAGTTCAAACTTCAAACGGCGCGACGGAGCCGCGGCAACCGGCACTTCACTCGGCCGCCGGCATCGCATTCGTCTCCATCACTCTAACCGCTAATGGCCAAACAGCCGCGAGGGGCCCAAACGCCGATCACCACCTCGCGGGAAAAGCACCTACACCGCGAAGTAGACGAGGCGGAAACGAGCGGTGTACCAGTCGGCCAACTGCACGCGTCCGCAAACGTCTAGATCCATTTGCAGACAAGAGTCCAAGGCGCCGTGCCTCGCCTCGCACGTTCTGCGCTCGAGCCACGCCACGCGAGCATGAATGCACCTTCCCATGGTGCCTTTCCATTCTTATTTTCCCTTGGTTTTTGTTGTTGTCACTCGGATCACCGCGAGTGACAGTCCCGATCAAGACAGCCGTGCTGTTCCGCCCCGCATCACGCATCCCTGACCCGGGCCGGGCGGGGAGCGCGATGACGGCTGCCGTCGGCCTGTCGGCCAGTCAGTCGGCCAGCCAGGGCGTTCACCACGCCGGCCGACCCGCCGTCCTTGAGCCCCCCCCCCCCCTCCCCCTGCCGGGCGGGGCGGACCGCCACACCACAGGGGCGTGCAGTTTCCAAACGCAGCCACCCAATCATCATCCGGGGGGAAACCCGAGCAAAACACCCAGCGATATTATTCCAAAACAATAAGTCGATCAATCGCCCCGTCTCTCTCGCACCCGCAGGGAACGCCCCCTGAGTGCGAGAGAGAGCGACAACACGAGTCGGCCTGCATTTGCATCGCAGGCGCTCTGGAAGCAGAGCGTTACCGAGCAACAAGTGCGCTTCCGTCCTCCCATCAAAGGACAAACATCAACATGTTTAGCAAAATTTAAAAAAAAAAAAAGAAAAAAAGGGTTGTTTGCATACGAGCAACGCAAACATTAACGGTTTTTTGAAATGCTCATTGAAAATAATCAGAAACCCGACGAATCGACAAGCTTACGCAATGCGCATAATTTTCCATAGCCAAGGCCCAGTTTCTTTCTCTTTTTTTCTTTTTAAAAATAAATATGCGAAGCGCCCCACGTGCCATTAGTACTCGATCCAGTCAAGTCAAAACAAAACCTCTGCGCGAGTCCGCGTATGTAAACATGGTATTTGCATCAAGTGCCAGCTTTGGTTCGAGCTCTACATTTTCTACACGACTTCCTTCCAGAACACGACGGCATAATAATAAAGCGATCGCTCGCGAGCGCACCGGCAGCAATGAGCTCCGTGATAAAATCGAATGACCAAAAGTGTCTAAACTGTCATTCGACTCCGATAATTTGATCGTTTGTGACAGTGGCGTGGCTGCGCTAGTTCCTCACGCAGTGCAGTGGCAAACAGTGCCGCGCGCACGCACCAGAAACGGCAAGCAATTTGCCCATATCCATACAGCGGGATGATTCCGAAGCGCGTCGCTCTGTCTCTCTCGCACCTATACGGGATGCCCCATGAGTGCGAGAGAGACAGAGCGACGAGGCGCCTCTCGGCTGGCCAGGTAGATAGATAGATAGCGGCAGGCGGGTAATCGCAGTCGAACCGAAGCGACAGCTATCACGCCGGTAGCGGCACTGCGGGGCACTGCAGCGCGCGGAGTACAGGCAAACACAAACACGGCCGTGCCACGCGCCACCCAGCCCAGCCAATCGCACGCCACCGTTTGAGGCCCGCCCGCCGGAGATACCCCGCGCATAGACACACCTGTCGCGCGCCGCGCGGTCCAGTTTACGTTTTCGCGTTGATAGCCTGACCGCCAATACCGCCCTCATCCCACCCACGCCTTCGCGCCTACACTGTCTCATCGGCTCAGAACGCGTCTAGAGCTTCAGCCGCCTCCACCGGTCTTCTGGCCCACTGTGCGACGACGACGACACCCGGAATCAGGCTGCAGACGAGGCTGGAGCGCCTGCGAACCTCCGATAGGCAACACCGCAACACACCGCCGCGCCCAAAGCCACGGATTGCCTACCCGCCGGGCGGGCGGAAGGTCCGCGCGCGCCGAGACGGGACGGTTCGTGTTTACCCCGGCGGCATACGCCACTGTGAGTCACGCGACCAGAGCACGCGACGGCCGCAGCGTGGGCCGCGGCCCAAAGTTTCCTGTTGCCTCTCCAGCGAGCCGCACTGGAGAGACTCCAGCGAGACCGCACTGGAGAGACTCCACCGAGCCGCACTGGAGACACTCCAGCGAGCCGCACTGGAGAGACTCCAGCGAGCCGCACTGGAGAGACTCCAGCGAGCCGCAGAGAGCACTCCAGCGACCAGAGAGCTCCAGCGAGCCGCACTAGAGAGACTCCAGAGAGGCACTCCACACCACAGAGCCTCACTAGAGAGACTCCAGAGAGACACTCCAGAGAGCCTCTCCAGCGAGCCACACTAGAAACACTCCAGAGCTCGTTACCGCTGGCCGCAGAGAAGCAAGGTCGTCCGGCCAAATTGATGCTATCGCAATGCCCGCCAGTCCAAGCCGCAAAGCATCAAGATGACAGTACACTGCAGGCAAGGGCCCAAGCGCCTTGCGGAGTCTAATCCACGGCATCAGCTCCATCGCCTGTGAGTGCGGTGTGTCCACGCCATTCCGACGAGATGACTAAAACGATCCTAGCTCCGCCAAACAAGTCGCGGAAAGCAAACACAGCGTACTTCAACTTCTTAGTAGTTACTGGTGTGTCATCCGAGCCTCGCTAAACGGCGGCCCCTTTTTCCGGGGAATCCGCGGTCCCGCCAAGCAAACCGGATCCAAAGCCATTCATTCATCGGCAAAAATCGCGTGCGGCGCGAGGCGGGCGGAGCAGCGCCGCCTGTTTTGCCTTTTTCCATTTCCCCGCCAGTGGGGCGACGAGACCTGTCCAGGCGGCTAGCCTCAGACGCTGGGCGCTGGCGCCGGCCGACCTAGTTCCAGCCGCTCCAGCGCCCGCGCACCAGCCCAGTCACGCGCGCGCCCTCGACAATAGACCCAAGCAGCCCGTCGCGTCGTCCTGGCTGCGGTCCGGCTTGCCGGAGAAAGCAGTGCAGTGGCACGTCCACGCCGAGGAAGCACTCACCGCTGCAGGTAGCCTCCACATACTCGTGTGCCATGTTGTCGGCGAGGGCGAACGCGACTGGGTTCCGCACTGGAGGCAAGCACACTGACTGGACGAAGCACAAAGCACGCGGTGCAGCACGGAAACGCTCCGGACGGGCCGGTCGGTACACTGGCTGTGGGCCGCCGCGGTCCCCGCCAGCGCTATATGAGCTCGGCCGGCCAGGGGGGCACGGGGGGGCCGCGGGGGCCCGGGCCGCGTCCGAGAGTCGCCGCGCCGCCGGCTGCAGGCACCGCACCGCAGCCCGGCGGAGCTTGGGACCGCCTTCAGACGCAGCGCGCGCCGCCACGCCGCGCAGCCCGAGCCGAGCCGGTGGAAACGCGTTCGGGCATCTCCGCCGCTCGGCCGAAAAGCCGAACGCGGAAGGGGGGAGCGGGGCGGCGTCGGCGTCGGGGCCCCAGGGGGCGGGGGCGGCCGTCCAGCCCAGCCAGATGGCGTCCACGGCGTCGGCGGCGTAGTGAAAGGCAAGGCTCGGACGTGCCTCCCCGACCTGTCTCCCTCGCACCCACCGGGGACGCCCCACGAGTGCGAGAGAGACAGCCGCGGGCGCCGCGTGACGTCACGAGGTCGCGTGTTTACATTCTTATCGCATTTTAGTTCAATTCGGTTAATGGTGATGGTGCCACCGCCCGGACAGCGACAGGTCAGCGCTCAAAGTGGGCGCCAAGGCGAGGAGGGGCGCCACCGAGGGCAAGACCCTCACCACCTTGACCGCAGCGAAGCGTGGCCAAGCGCGGCGAAGCCTCTAGAGGCGGTTATCTGCGAAAGCCTTCACCCCGACACACTGGAAACCTTGCCACGTACTTTGGGCTTATGTAAGGTACAAACCATGTACTTCGCAACTCAAAGAATTAGTTCGTAAATTACGCTCAAAATGCTCTGTGACAAACTACTTTCTTTGCAAGGCCCGGCAAGGCCTAAAGTAGTGTACCAGGTTTCGAGGGCGCACACGCTAACCAAGTAGGTTAAATAATTTAAAACAAAAGCCAGCCAGCGGGGACGCCGTCCTCGCAGTACAGTGTGCGAGCTTCTTGGCGTGCAAGTCATGCCAAGCTCAAGGCGAGAGCGACGTGTCCTACGCGGAGACAACAAAGGACTTGCTCGTAAAAAGGCGGCCGAGTCACCGTGCGAGGAAAAGAGGAAAAAACAGCTTCA